CAAACTTATGCGAAAATCTAAATATTTCGTGAATGTAGGGTTAATATTTTCGCGCACGTGCCAATCTGGTGTCGATTCCCAGAAATTGAATAATTTGTGTGTGGATGGGAGCGGCGAGGGGAAGACGAAAGCCGACCAATCGCACATTTGTATGTACATATATATGTTACATACATACATTACATATCTACATATTTACAAATGAATGTGTACATACGTACATATTTATGCGTTTGGCTTTTTGCATGAATAGAAAATTTGATTGCAGAAATAATTTTAATGAAATTAATTTTACAAACACATTTGTACGATATAATATTAAGTTTATTAGTTAATATCGGTATTTTGATAAGAAGTCATAACTTGTTAGACACACATACGTACATACACGGGCAATCAAAAGTGATTGCATGGTTCTTTTTTGTATAATATTTACAATGTTTTTCAAGTAAACATTTTTTTGTTATTTTTTTATAAAAATATGGTTCATGCTTTAATCGAAACCACATAAGTCAAACTTTATACAAAATTTAGAAAAATTCAACAAATTTTCGTCTAAATTTTGTGATTTTTAATCTCAGTTGTTAGAATGATAGATCGGTAGAAAAGCAAGTGCAAGTTTTAAGCGGCTAAAAAATCGCGTAGATTTTTAATGATTTTTTGTTGCGGACGGCTTGTACTTTTTACCGTATACATAAAAGCGAATTTCTTGTAGAATAAAATGCGCAAGACCGTTTGCAAACAAAATAATAAAACAAAAATTAAATACTATATTTTATAAATTACACCTGTTATATGCATAAAACCGCAAAATACGTCGGAAAAAAATTCATTAAAAATTAAAGCGATCTTTTATCCGCTTAAAACTTTCACTTGTTTCACTAAAATTACATACATAAGCAATCTATCTGCGTACCCAAAACTTTATAAAAATTTATGGCCTTATTCATAAAATTTAAAGTAGGTTTAAAGAGCTTTATAAATTAACGTTTTCATACAATTTCAATTTTTAAACCTTTTATAAAGCTACTTTATTTTTAATGAATAAGGCCATTCGATTAAAAATTAGAAAATTTAGATCAACATTTGTTGAATTTTTCTACGTTCTGTATAAACAACATAATTAATAACATAACATAATGTCAACATAATTGTATTACATAAGTAAGTATATTTTTACAACGCTTTTATTTGTACATCAATTTTTTAGCAACAGGAAATTCTTGCGCATGCAAAATGCCGTCGGCAAATGGAAATGTAAAAATTAGCCGAC